TTCAGTTCAAAATACTCTTGTACGTTTTTAAATCACTGAACAGTTATCTCACTGATCTGCTGCAGCCATATGTCCCACAGCGCTCTCTGAGGTCAGTGAATCAGATGCTTCTTTCAATTCAGCTCAAGAGGTGACAGGGCTTTCTCTGTTGCAGGTCCAACAGTGTAGAATGAGTTTCCACTGCATGTCAGGCAGGCCCCTTCTCTCATAGTTTTTAAGTCTTACTTAAAAACCCACTTTTAATCCTTGGCTTTTCAATTCAATTCAATTCAAAAATACTTTATTAATCCCAAAGGGAAATTATTTGTTGTTGTAACTCGTTATCCTCATTTCATTAAGAGATGTTATAGATGCTGATGGCTGTAGACAGGAAGGATCTCTTGTAAAGGTCCATCCCACAGTGGATCCTAAGAAACTGGCTGCAGATGCCGTCCAATCTGTCCACCCAGACTCGGCTGGCCTCTCGGTTCCCCCGGGCTGCAGGACCGCCCCAATGCCGGGCAGAACTCTTCCCAGAGCGATGGCCACTCCTCCCAGCAGTCTGCCGAGCTCCTCGTCGCTGCAGACAGCCAATTGTAGGTGCCGAGGCACGATTCTGTCCTTCCACTGTCATGAGCCGTGTTTCCTGCTAGTTCCAGGATCTCAGTGGTCACCCACTCGAGCACAGCTGGCAGGTAGATGAGAATGCGTCCACAGAACATCCTTTTCAACTCATTTGAGATTTGGGGCTGTAGTTGAGATATTATTTGAGCTTTTGAGATGTTAATCAGCTGCTGTTGGTTGTAGAAAACTGCCTTGTTGCCATGGTTATATAATGAAATTATGACCAGGTTATGAGCAAATCAAAACCATAGGACCAGTCTAGATTAAAAAATATCTTAACAACAACAAATGTCCAAAACTAAAAAAAGTTTCAGTAAAAATCCTTCCAGCTGCACAGCATCTGACACCAGAGGAAACCATCATCCAAAAAATGTGATTTACATCCATAAAAAGAGGAATTAAAGTTTCCAAAAGCAAAATCTCAGAATGAAAGTAACAGAGCTGCTCCAACATGCAGCCACCTTGAGCAGCGCAATTCTAGAACAAGACAGCGTCTTGTTCAAATTTACTTTTTTTTTTAACCTGTCTATTCTACAATGTTAGCCATTTAGTTATCTTCTTCCATTTGTATCTATATTTTTATTTTACTTCATTTTATGTTTTGCTGTGTGCTTTACTTGTTTGTTTCTGCTGTACAGCACTTTAGTTGGCCTTGTAGCCGTTTTAAGTGCTCTATAAATAAAGTGGTATGGTATGGTGTGGTGTGGTGTGGTGTGGTGTGGTATATCTTGATCCTTATTTACTGTTTCTTTGTATATTTTATAGTTTTCTATTTGGGGTATAACTGGGACTCTGTGTACATAATTTTGTTCCACCTCATGTACCACATGTGGTGGAAATGACAATAAAATTGACTTGAACTTGAACTGAGAGTAGTCTCCTTTCAACAGATATCATATGTTGTCTGATGTACTAAATTAAAGATACTCAGATAAATGTCAACATCCCAGTATAAGAACAATGTTTGCTATCCAATCACGAAAAGACAAAATGTGCTGGTCTTGGTTTATTGAAAACATGACAAAGGTAGCAGCAGCTGTACAAGGGAGTGGCCATGTTGCAGCCATCTATCATTTGGTGTGTTTCAATGTAAATGACCCTTGTACCATTTTACTGCCCTTATAAAAATGGAGAGATAACTTAAAGTTATTTGTCACTGAATTTTTGATTTGTTTCCTCCATACACACATAATAACCACCACCACACACAATTCAAGGATTCAAAGATTCAGGTTTCTTTATTTGTCATTCCGCCACATGTGGTACATGTGGTGGAACAAAATTATGTACACAGGGTCCCAGTTACATCCAACAAAAGTATTAAAATGTAAAATTGATTGCACCAATCAGGAATCTTATTGGTTGCTGACAGTAAACCTGTGCTCATGGTGACGGTCTAATAACTGTCCCCACACACGCACTTCCTGGTTTGCTTATCTTTCCTAAACTAAGATAATCAGAGCACACCTGAAACTGACTGTCTGTATGGGTGGATTTTTTTTTTTTATAAGCTGTTAACACAGAAAAACAGATGAGCAAAGGACAAATGGATTCACAGACTGACAGACACTGACATGGGTGGATTATAATATCTGTTTCTACTCCTGGTCTTAAGTTGGAAAGGTTTTCAGATATTTGCGTATTGAAGAAAATCTGAATTTGAACTGACGTGACGAAAGACGAAACCAGAACTGAAGAAAATTTATCAAGATTTTTAGGTAATTTTTTTTCACCTCTTTTTATACTTTATGGCTTTTTTTTATTATTAATTTACTAAAATTGAACATTTTATTATTATATTAATTTAAACTACACACCGTAATACTGACAATCCAACAAAATGAATAACTCATTTCAGGTCACTGTTGGAGCTGTGGAGTAAACCAGCACAATGGAGGAGCTAAAATACAGGGGGAAGAAAAGAGAGGTTAGACACAGGTAAGCATTAATCTCATCTTATTTTCTGTTTTGTCCAAGAAGGTAGGTTAATGTAACCCCAGTTAGCACACTTTGATCCTAATTAGCTTGAATAAGTAAATAGATTTCGCTGTGAACATTCATTGTGGTTAACAAAGGTACAATTGGTTATTTTTGGCTTATATGTCTCTTGTTGTGGAGATAAGATATAATATACTTAAATAATTTTATAATGCATGAAAATGCACAATCATACGTTCCCTGTACTGGGCACTCAGCTTACATAAAAGAAATACATAAAAATGTGATGCCTTTTTACATGTTTCCCTAATTTCAATGTGTTGGGCTTGATTCAACATAAACATG